GATATAGGAATACAATTGATTGTTTTATTTTGACCTTATACCCCATAACCTTTCCAAATTCACTTATTCATTTTGGGAATTTAAGTCAAATCCTAGGATTTTCTATGTAAAAATCAAGTCATTTATCAATGACAACAGTTTAACTCCTTCTTTCTCAATATTTATGACTTTTAATTTTATGTAGGTTGTTGAATTGACTATGCTGCTATTATAATTTTTAATAGGCTTTACTGAGATAAAACTTGCATATAATAAAATTCATCAATTTTAAAAGTATAATTAAAGAGTTTTGACAAATGTGCAAAATCATGTAATCATCATAACTATGATATAAAACTTTCCATAACCCCCACCAAATCCTCTCAAACCCATTTCCAATAAATTTTTTACCCTACCTTGGCCTCTGAGAACTGCTGATCTGCATTCTGTCACTTCATTTTGCCTTTTCCTGAATATTGTATAGAAGGAATTACACATAGATTTTGCATATTTTATCTCTACGAAGAGTATAAACCATAAAATTCAATTTTCTAATTGTTGCTTGAAACCTTGAGTTGTCTTTTAAATAGAGAGGAATAAGAAACATAGCCTGTTCTATTTGCACATATATCCTATTTTTACTATCTTTATTTCTTTTTGCATATCTGAGTTTCCATCTTTATTTACTTTCAGATGCAGGTTGGGTATTAGTCATTTGAAAGCTTAATTGGGGCTGGGGGATTTACTTCCATGGTGGCTCATTCATGTGGTTAACAAGTCGATTCCTCTTCATATCAGCATCTTTATGAGGCTGTTTGAGTATCTTCATGTCATGGAAGTTGTCTTCTCTCAGAGTTAGCAATCCAAGAGGTCAATCTAGAAAGCTTTTATGACCTTTGAAGTCACATACCTTTGCTTCCACCATATTCTATTTGTCAAATAGATCAAACCTAATTCAGTGGGGGTAGGTGAACTCAGAAGAGCATGAATACCAGAAGGCAAAGATAAGAGGAGACTGTCTTGGAGTTTGGATACCATATTATATCTTCAAGTTCACCCACCCTTTTTTCTTCGGTCTGCACTCTTTCATAAGCTCCTTGAGTGATTTTTTTTTTCAAATTTCAGATAATTAGTTTGTTCAATTCTTAAATTTCCAATTGTTTCATTTGAATAGTTTTCATTTTCCTGAAAGGATTATCCATCTAGACGCTCATTATGATTTTTTAAAATTATTTGGACATATTTTTAATAGCTGTTTTAAATCTTTTGTCTGTGAATACCAACCTGTGAATCATCTTGGGATTGGTTTCTATTGACTAATGTTTGTTTGTTTGTTTTTTAATATAGTTAACATTTTTTTTTACCACTTCACACATCAAGTGTTTTTCTGTTGTTGTTGTCACTGCCTCTTATTATTTATTTATTTATTTATTGGTATACTGGATTATAAATGATTCTTTGCTGAGATTCTGAAATCTGTTATCTTTATCTTGAAGAGTTTTGTGTGTGTGTGTGTGTGTGTGTGTGTGTGTGTGTGTTTTACACACAGTTAAACTTGGCAGGGCTTATATACCAAACCATGTCTACCTATAGTGAGGAACAGCTAAAACTTCTCAGCTTTCCAACCTTCTAATTATTGCTCTGTACTTTCTGTTGGGTTCCTTGGAGCCTCCTATATGTAAATAGTTCAGAAGTTATCCTAGTATTTGAGCACAGTTTATATGTAGACTTTTTGGATTTTTACACTGTGGTACCTTCTTTCTGGAATGTTTTTCTTATTTTTTAGCCTCTCTGCCAGCTTCGAATTCTGTTTTCTGACGCCTCAAGCTACTAAGATTGTGATGCCTACAGAGCCCTCAGAGGAAAAGCCAAATACATGTGCATTTTCTTCAGAAGAGCACCTTCTTTCATGAGTTATATCATCTCCACTATTCTGATTTTGGTGGTTCTTTGGCACATTTAAATAACTGTTTTTATACTTAGAGATTATAATTGTTATATGCAGGAAGGTTAGTCATACCAGCTATTCTGCCATACCAGAATGAAACTTTGTTCATTCATTTTTTGAGTGAGACACAAAACAGCCCATTAAAAGCTTTGGGTCCCTGAGCCTGTTCAGTGATAGGCTTCACTGTAAGGTGTTGACATAAATCAGAATGTTTTGTTGGTGGGATGGTATTCTAATGTTCAGTATTCCTAGGTCCACCTCCTTTTGAGTTGTTTGGTTTTCTCAACGATTTACCCTCCAACTTCCTGTATGGTCAGAGATGTGATAGATATAAGCCTACTTTTCAGCATTTGGGGGTCCTACGGGACCCAGAAGTGTCGTCGTTTATTACATGGAGTTTCATAAATCCTTGTTTTCAATATGGTCTCAGCTGTGCCTTGTGATCTAAGACATATTTCATTTTTTGTTCAGCATTTCCAAAGATTAAATTTACTGTTTTTTCCAAGAGTTTGGGAAGTGTATTTTTGCTGTGATGATGGTAGAAGAAATGTAAGGGCCTTAAAGAGCTTCTTATAAAAATGTTCAACCAATGTCTGATTCTCTGTTCCACATTTAGAAGGATCTGGTATTCTAATTCCTGAGCATTTCTGGAATTCTGTAGTAAGAATTAGATTTCTTCTTATTGTCTTTTCCCATTGCAAACCTGGGTTTCAGGTCAACCACCCAATCTTCTAAGTCAGCTGTCATTTGTCCATCCATCCCTAGATTCTAAGATTTGGTAGATATTATTTCTCCCTTTCTTTCTGTGGATATATGCCTTTGTTTATTTTCTGGTCACTTTAGATGATATTTTGTAAGGAGTGAAGATAAATTCCATGAACTTAATTCCTGTTCCACCTGTTTTAAAATATTTATTTTGGTCTTATATTTTTAAATAAAAACAAACTGCATTTATTAAGCCAAATACCCTCTTTTCAAATTTCAGTTAATAGCTCTTCTGCAAAAGTCAGTTATGAAAGCATAGGTGTCAAATGACTAAACTAATGTTGAAAGTAAATATCAACTCTATAGTCACCCCTGTACCATAAAATGGGGTTTTTCTAGCTATTATTGTTCCTTAAAATAGCAGGAAGAAATAGGCTTACCATATCTTTCAGTGTAATATGCTTGCTTTGGGCTTATGTTGGAAAAGACTTGCTCACAACAGACAAGTATCTACATGCAGTGCTGCCACTTCAAGACTAGCCTCGAAGAGGTGCGAATAAAAATGGCCCAGCAACACTTCATGCCCATCCTTCCACTGGTCAGTGTGAGCCAAGGGAAACTCGTTACGTGAGAACTGAGTTTACTGTAGGGTGCTTTATTAGCTTGCTTTGCTTATGAATTTGATTTTTTAATGTAAAGTGAAGATAAGTGAATTCATTCTCTGAAAAGTAACAAGTCATGTGAGCATCTTTAGTCTTTCGGCAAATAATTCATTATTTAACTGAATTTGTATGAATTTACATATACTTGTGTTTTTTTGGGGGGGGGGCATTTGTAGACTGAGCATGTGCTCATCTTCATAAAATTACCTGTAAGGAATTGTTTTTGTATTTATTGTTCATATCCAATCAACTAAGGATCACATTTCTGTCACTAATTGGTTAGATTATTTTTGTTGGTAGTTTACCAATATAGCACAAAAGCTCTTAAGTATAAGAAATAAATAAATAAATGGGAGAAAGTATTGGACCTTGTTGACTGGTGTTATCAGAAATGGGGATACACTGAGATGAATTTAGTGCATGTTGGAGGAAAGGCAGAAACAAAAGACTAAAAGTAACACCTGTGAATTAAGATTAAATAAAGGGCCTAGAGTTATTTTAGCCAGAAATGAGATGTGATGTAATAACTGTCTTTATATATAAAGATTTATTGCAGAATATAATGACTAATTGCTGTTCATCTCCACTGATATCTGAAAAGAAAAAATTCAAGGGCAGAAATATAAATGACATATATTTAACCAATACTTATAATAATAGCCTGAGGTTGATGGACAGACATCAGAATGCCTGTGATGGGACAAAAGGATAGGGCAGACCTTTAAATGTAGCAATCTTCTCTGACATGAGTGATGACAGGTCTTGCCTTAGAGAGCTGGACCCGTTGGCTTCCACAGGGCCTTTCCAGGCCTGTAATTCTCTGGGTTCCGTCTGTTGCTAGCCTTCAGAAGCTGAAAGTGAATGAGACACAGCAAGTTTCTGCCTTTTCAGGAGCTCCAACAGTGTCAAAGGAGGCAGTGACTGCAGCAGCACAACAGCATCTTTTCCAACAGAAGACTTCACTCAAAGGTGAGTCAGGTCAACGTGGACACGGGTGCTGTCTTTTCCTCCAGATTTCACTGGCTCTGGGCACAGGAACCTTGGAGGATAAGCGACCACAGGACACCCTCCCCAGCCACCAATATATAAGCTTTGTTAGAGGGACGAACAAGGGATGACTGGTTAGCTGGTGGGAGGGACTCGCCACCAGGGCGCTCAAGAAGGGATGAGTTGTGCCAACAGCCAAGTCCCTTTCTCACCTGCTGGGTTGCCAGGATCCATGTGCTCCTAGAGCGCGCAGGGCGCACGCCACTCTCGGAGCTAGCGTCCCGCTGCGCTCGGTCTCTTCCAGGCTCCTGGCTCCCGCGGGAGGGCGCGTGGGATGATGCTCTGGTCCTAGTGCCTTCCCCAAGCTCCCGCATCCGGAGCCGCCCTAAGCCGGCACCGCCGCAGCCACTGCCAGAGAGGGAGAAAGGGAAAAACGGAGGGGGGCTGGAAAGGCTCGGCGAAGGGAGGAGGGGAAGTGGAGAGAGAGGGAGCGGAGGGGGAGGGAATCTCTCTCCTTCGCAGTGCCTCCGCCTCTACTCTCTCCCGCTGGCGGCGACTCGGGTCTCCCTCCACACCCTCTCCCAGTTCCTCGCCCCCTTCTCCGCCCACCCTCCCTCCCGAGCGTGCGGAAAGGGAGCCGCAGCTGGAGCGCAGCCGAGGGCGCCGTGGGAGGTGGTGGCGGTGGGCGTGTGCGTGTATGTGAAGGACGCCACCTCCCGCTCCGGCGTTCGCAGGCGGCGGCGGGCGGCGGAGCTTCTTGCTCCGGCAGCGGCAGCGGCAGCGGCAGCGACAGCGGCGGCGGCTTCCGGAGTCCCGCCGCGAAGATGCTCAAAGTCACGGTGCCCTCGTGCTCGGCCTCGTCCTGTTCTTCGGTCACCGCCAGTGTGGCCCCAGGGGCCGGGACCCTCGTCCCGGATTACTGGATCGACGGCTCCAACAGGGATGCTTTGAGCGATTTCTTCGAGGTGGAGTCGGAACTGGGACGGTAA